GGTGACAGTTTTATATAGGTAAGTTTTTGTTATTTGGAAGATCAGTTCCAAAGCCTACCTTCTCCTTAAGTTTGTTTAACCTGTATAGTACACGAACGCATGTCGCTTCTAACAATGGAAGACAGAAATAGGAATTTTGTCTGCCTTTGCGAATTGGATTCCAAACTTGAGAATAAACCTGAAGTGGTTTCCCAGACATTATATTATTCGTTATCAAAAACCAAAATACGCCTTACTTTTTCCGAATTTTATTATCTCGAAATCTGAGAAAACTCTGAAGCCTTTCTGGCTGTTCATACCAATATTATCACCCCTTTTACCCCTTTTGAAGCACTTAGGGGTGGTTCTGGACGACAAGACTTGGTAAGCATTAACTTCTAATAAATAAACAGTATCCCTAAAGCTGCTGATACTCGAAGGTTACAACTTTCTGTTGCTGTTTCCACCTGTTTTTTCTTACCCCTGTCACCTTTTTTGAGGTACTTAGAGAATGATCGAGACGACCAGACCTTATGTTTGTTAGTTTTTTATCCAATATATTTAATTTATGTGAATTAATCCTGAAAATCAGGGTAAACTTAAAATTCGCAGAGGTTGTCGAAATCAGAATCACTTCAACTCATAAACAGGGGTGATTCTTGGATGTTTAAAAAAAAAACAATGATTTTTTTGGTCTGGGAAATCTTTCTAAGTCTATTCTCAAGGCCAGATACTAATGCGCAGAAACAGGGGTTGCAATTTTTAGTTTTGATAGTTTTTGGCTTTTTTCTCCACCGCGACTGGACCGATTTTAAAAAATTATGAAGACTTTTTGTCTGTGCCATAGTATAGTAATCTTGTGTAGAAATTCCTTCAAAATCTGGGCGGTCCTGTCCAATTTATAAACGGGCCAAGGATTACCGCACGTACAATCAAACAGACCGACAAAAGTGAGTGATATGGTTTTTCGTAATGTACACGGCATACCTATAACATCCAAAAAACATAATATCTAATGTTCCAAATTTTTCACGTTTACAATACGGCAGTGGCGTAGGAAGTAAAATTGAAATGGACTCCTGTTAACTGGGTGCCTAGATCACGAATGTGATGTCAATAGCTATTTTATGTTACCCAAATTACTCAGGAGAGAGGAAAAAAGTGTTGACAAGGGCAAACATCGCTAATCATCTTGGAGTCAACAAACTTGCTTTGTCTTTTCTCGACATGAGCTTCACGTTAATATTTCTGCCCTCAAGAGTACATTTAGCGATGTGGTAGTAGATATCTGGAAACATCTGGATTTTAATTATATCATTATTCATATTTATTTTATTTGTCTTATAAAGTGTAGATAATTATATGTTGTTTTTCTCATTGATCCTAAACAAACCTGTAAAAAACCCAGGATGATATACAACTTTGTTTTTTAAAGACAATCAGTTCCATAAAGTTTAATTACTTTTGTATTAAAAGTACAGATAAAAATTCAAGATCCCTACAGATTCGATATCCAACCGCATTTCTGGAAATAGGAACCGTATGCAATAAGAAAAATAGAAATTCATTAAACACCAAAACGTTAAAGGTCGTTATGATGCAAATTGAATAACTACTTGGACAATATAAATAGTTAGAAGCTTTGTAACTTATACTTTAAAACATTAAAGATAGTGGATAGGATTTTTAATAGATATGTCCTAGGGAAAGTAATTTCACTTTCTGATCAAGATGCAGGCCTTCCTAGATTATTAACTTAACGGTCTATGTATAACGTTATTATTTTTTACTCTCCAAACATGTAGATGTATGAATATTTTAGTGGACAGTGTAATTAAGATATAATTATAATTATCTACACTGCAAGGATAATTAATCCTAAAATATTTCTACGGCTCTGATTGTACTAAGTAAAATAATAACTCACAGTGACAGCCTAAGCCTCAAGTAAACGTTAGAAAAAAATTCGAGCCATTCGCATTCGAAAACAGGACGAAATCATGCCATTGTCACTCGGTTTCTTATCAAAAGATCAACATAGGCATCATGAAAACGCGAAAAAACAAATCTTCGTATATAAACCAGTGACTGTTAGGAATCAGTCTTGATCGCGCGAGATTGTACAGCCAGTGTGAGGAGGTGCTTTGTGACGTGGAGAAACTGGTTAGTGTGATGTGCTTAGGCAACTAATCCTCGTAAAAGCTCTCATCTTTGAGTAGGCGGTACTATATAAATTTTCGAACTCGTCATTGCTCAGGTATTCTTGACTCAACGAGAGTATACAAGCGGGGAAACGTTGAGGGGTGCCGCAGTGTCTCGGTACCACCACTCTGTCAGGTCTTTAGGAATTTATTAGCCTATATAGGGGTCCCTGGGTATACAAAAAGCTGGTGGCCGGCAGCTGAAGGGGTCCCTTACAAACTCGAAGTCCGGAGGGGAAGGAGGTGAGGGATTCTGATTTTTTTAGAAATTTTGATTAAAATGGGTTCCCCCATCAAGCTGGAGCACTAAGCGCGGTCCTTGTTTTCCCATATGATGAAGACGGCAAGTATTTCTTTGAAGAACATCACCCACCGACAGTCCTTCAGTAGGCATTAACGACTTAGGTAATGCTTACCCTTCCAGTGTTGAGTAATGAGCCTTTGAGGATGTTCATGATCTTAAAGCACTTAATGAATTATTATTATCATAAAAAAATGTTTTCCTACGGAGACTCAAAATCCTAATTACAGCCGAAGTACTATATCTCATGGACAATGTCTGAGATATCCCCCTCCTCATCTCCTTACCTTGCATTCTATCTCTATATCAATAACATATAAGGGTACACAAGCATATAAGCGATTGAGGGATACGATAAAATTTAATTTAGGTTACCCCAACATTCTTTATACCTGTAAGCAACGGCAGAATACTTAGAACCAGTACCATTGCACTAAAATGGACAATGTGTCGTGGGGTGAACATAAAATTTTTGTTTTATTTCCAATATCACTTTTTAAAATTTTTTGGGTGGTCGGTCAATATGGAAATGTTATTTTGCCCCTAAAAAGTGACAGCTATCTGTTTGTACAATTTTGAGGAAATTAACGTAGTTTTATCAATGTTAGCAATGCAGGTTTTATGGATATTTTTAGGCTCCTTGAATGGATAAATTAAAAAAATAGTACAAAACAAAACGCAGTTTGCCTATTAGAAAGCTGGAAAATAGCATGACTCTGCTTTTCTGACGAGAGTACGTTATATTTCACTTTTGCATGGAAACTTTTTTTGAGGTGCACAATGATTCAAAACATATTGGAGGAGAGTTGACAAAAAATAAACATTGATCTCACTGGGAAAATCGCTAAAGACTTAGTTACCATCATAAAGTATATACCAACCGAGCTAATCAGCAAGGTCTCCCTACACTTATTTCTTGAATGGGCCAACTAAGCAAGCTAAAATGCAGTTTGCTTAAATTGACGCATACATTCTATGCTTCATCATAAAAATAACAGTTGAAAATTTCAAGATGGCGGCAAAGCACCAGCTTGTAACATTTTTCAAATGGAATGCAGTATCAGAGGAAGTTTACCATTATTTATTATTATAATTATTGCATTGAATCTAATATAACTCAACAACTAATCATCAAAACGTTATAGTAAGTTATATTAACCTGCTTTTAGAATGGTCCATCTGAATATCTAATAAAATATATAACATTCAGATATATCGACTCAATGTACGGGCCCCTTCCCCCTCTTTTATACGCCATTGACAAGCACAGCATTTTGACAAATTTGGTGCAGGAACTCTAGATTTTTCCGGTACAGATGCCTTATCTTTTACGCGAGACAACGCTAGCAATAAGTTTTAACGTTTTATGATGTTTTCAAAGCTTATTTTATTTACCTTTTAATTTGTGGAACATTATAGTACTTTACTACCATCACAATATTTCTAGCAGAGGTATCAACATTGTCTGTCCTAGCTCAGTTCCACCATTGATTAACGTCTTCTACCTGAAAATAGCGAATCTAATGCTATATTCGCTATATATCAGATCGATATTTTCGATGTGGAATAATAACTTCTTCTCTTGTAAAGTCGATCCCTATCATCCTTACGATTTAGAGACGACATACAAAAATGGTGAATGCACTACCTATTATTTGACCTAAACCTACAGTGCATTTCAAAAAGGTCACCACAATTAATTTTTTTAACGGATAAAGTTGGGCAGCTGAAAAGGACCTGAAAGGACGTAATTGAAGCATGAGTACTCTTTATATTTTAGCGTAAAAGTGATAGTTGTAAGATTTCAAGGTGGGCTGGGTGCCATCCTGGAACATTTATCTATTAGTACTCTGTAATCCTTGCTGTATCTCAAAAGTTGAGCCTTTCTGTACATTGAATCGTTCGAAACTTAGCAACTAATCATTAAAGCTCTTTAGTGTCTTCTTTTGTCTCATAGTAGCTTCATTAAAAAAAAATAGAATAGAATGTTCCATACTTTAGTACATATACAGTTCCAAGTGATAACGGTTGATATAACGTACTATGGGGTTTTGAAGATTGGTTGGAGTTATAAATGTTTGAATGTACAGAACGTTTCAGTTCGGTAGCCTGCCAGTCCGCCATTTTGAAAGATGAGCTTCAAAATGAGGAATTGTAGCTAGCTAACTTGATCCGATCCCAAAATAACGAATATAATGGATAAACCGCCCTTGCGCTAAATAGAGACACTTTTTAAACTACTGTGCCGAGGCCCCTGACAGCTCCCTATGTTCGCGCGGGACAATTTTGCGTCCCCGGCTTTTTGTTGGGGTCAGTGGGACGGAGAACCATAAAGCGGGACAGTTCCGCTCAAAACGGGATGTATGGTCACGTTAGGCGTCACTGTCTTACCGAGGTGAATTCTGAAGAAATATCAGTTAAAAAATTTATTTATAACACGTCTGAAGCATAATTGCATTCTGAGCTGCCACATTTTCCAGTATATCCTAAATTATTATATTTGCATGTATCAACACACCTGATAGCTGAAAGCTTTAACTCCATTTTTAGAAACTGTTTAAAGTCCCCAATAAAACCCTTTTGATACTACAATGTCTGTGAGATTGTTACACATCAAGAAAACTCTGTTTGTTCGTGAATTTTGATCTATGAGATCGGTGAAACAAGTAGCGGTAACGTAGACCGTAAACCCGGCTATTACCATATTGATACGTTGCATTTCCTGCAGTAAGTGGCCACAACAATAAATAGCAAATTTAATACCGCATAATAATGCATTTTCCTATCTTCTCAAGGCCTCCAAACTAGCATGGCACTTCTCAAACAGTCTCCATCGAGATTCGAACGCGTGCAAAAATCTCAGCGTTTCATAGCGCTCCATCGATCTCGTCGGTTGGTTTTCCGCGAAACGGTTGTCACTGTCTGTCTTAATAAAGCGTGTGTGCCAGTTTTTTTGAAGTTAATTCATATTTCGGACTTTTTGGACTATATAAATAAGAATGAATAACCGGTAAACAATACTTTGTTCTGGGCCCCGCTTATTAAGTAATAAAATCGTATTTTTTGTTTTTACATGATATGCTGTGGTCAAGTTTCAAGGGGTCAAATTGTACTCAGACCAAAGAAACGTTCAAAACAGGCTGTTAGGTAAGATTAAGTAAATTTGGCATATTGTATACGAGTATCTAAGAAGGTCGACGCTTCAGTTGTAGCTTACGTTCAAAAATTAAATTTTATGAGAGAGTATGGTAGGAGAGGATTTTTGTTGTTCTACATGCTTACGGACATGAGGAATCAAATGGATCAAATTAATCAAATAGGCCTATATAATTAATCTACAGTCTCCAGCCACTTTGGAGAAACGTAACAATCTAGAAATGTATGCTTTGCCCTACCGACAGAACAGACCATCTGACAACGTTGCGGTTTCAGATGAGCTGGGTGAACCTCGCCAACTGCCAGCTAGAGACAGCTCTTTTATTTTCGTTGCGTCTTAAGTGGGTAATACTATAACACCTAACTCCCGATTTTCGACTTTTCTAAAACAACATTGAAAATATGTAGGAGACATTTAAACGCCGGGATACCAAGTTTCAGCGATTACTATTTTTTATATTTTATTGCTCAGTAGATCGGTTAGTACATAACATATGGTTTCATTAGCGAGACAAGCGTCGGAGACTATCCGCTTGTTAAGTTGTAACCTCGGGTGTGTTATGCAGACCAAACTTGGGTCACCTAATCATAGTGAAACAATTCACTTGCTTGAACATAGTCTTATTCATTTTTAAACAAAACACTATTACTATAGTTCTATCTATAGAAATTACATTAAATCGGCGATGCCATGATCTATCGTTTGCCATAAGAAAACGGGATTACCAAAGATGAACTTGGTCTTGTTCCGCATTAAGATAACACGGGAATAGTGTCTCATGTCTCATACAGACACGTGCATTTCAAACCTGAGCATCTTATCTTGTCATCCGAGAATTGAAGCTATGATTACTGAATATGCTTAGCAAATGTCATGCAACTTGAGGTTTCCAATAAACTTACTCAACACTGTCTGGAAATGTGATGTGTCAAATTTACTTTCTCTTAGGACGCTTATCATTGTAGTAATACATTTTAGAAGCATTCGGACCACCTGTTTTAGATTTTTTCTGACCTTAAGACCTTTTGAAATCTCAGATTTGGATACATCCTACACCCTTAGATGAGAGCTTACCAAGGATCTGTCAAGGATTGCGTGACGGAAAAACGGTGATGTGCAAATAACTGTGGCTGAAAACAGCAACATAGAGACACGTAGACAGTTGTGATTTGTTTTTCAGGACAGAGAAAATGGTGGAAAATCAAGGGAGGCGGCTGTCTTTGGCTCTGCCCATCTCCTTGCCCCAGAGGCAGAGGAGGATGTCGGTCAGGAGCTTTTATTGGGTGATGGTCAATCCGATGGTAATTTTCAATTTTATATGGTTTGTTTTGCGATAGTGCGATAGTTTTTCTCGTATGAACTTTGATATTCGCATTTCTGAATGTCTCTTAGATACATGTCAATCGTGATCATCGAGCAAATTAAGAAACATATCAATATTTTCAATATGTGTATGGGGATACGCTACTGGAAGCCGGTTTACTTCAGACAATTTTTAATTGACACTGTATATTTATACGGCAGGGTATCCATCTTTGAGGTGAAAAAAATACTTTGAACCGTTTTTGAGGGAAACAGTCTTGTCTTAAAACAGCTCTGTCAATTTTCACTTTTACCATTCAATGATAAATTGTTGTTGATACAAATTTTACACAGTATCCCAAAAGCTGCACTATTAATTTGGCACAATCGATTCCGAGCTTAGATGCAATACATGCTTCCCGTTTTAAGAGAAATTCGAGTAGTCAAAGCCATCTGAGAATATATCGCCACTCTTGCATCTTGGATCTTCAATTAACCAAAGTATAATATGTGCATCGAATTTTAACCAGAATTAAAAAACCTACTTTTCCTGTTTATTATGCATTTTATTTTTATGAGTGTGTATGTGAATGCTGATGCATCTTGCAGTTTATAAGAATGTGTTGCGTTACTTAACCACTAATCATAATGAAACACTCTGGTGTATACTTTAGCATTTTCTTCAGATGTGTATTTCAAAGGAGCATGCTTTGTATTGCATTTAAATATTTCAGAATATGTCGCATTTCAAACTTTCGTCAACATGTTCCTTCGTATTTTAATACCTGATTACTTTTTAAAAGCCCAAAGATCATTTCTTACACTTATGTTCAATATTCACCTATTTTCTGATATTTAACTTAGTATTTTTATATAAGCCGATGATCGATGCTTCAAATCTGTAATAAAGCAAAACAAATCAATGCAAAATCATGATGAAACTACCACTGTTATTTTTGATGTGTGCAAAAGGTTTATTTTTATATATGCGTTGTATCTAGTGTCTTGTATTTTATATTTAAATAAGAAAATTTTTCAACCACGTGTTCATAAAAAATACCACATTATATTCGAAAATGTAATTATGTCATGCAACTACTTTTAAACTAAATAAATTTAGACTAAATGAGTTTTAATGAGGGGTTCCCGTGCATTGTTGTTTTCGAAGCTGCTCATATAATTGCATGCTGTGATGTGACAATTGTTCTTTGTTAATTTTTCAATTCTTTATTACTTTTGCCCCATCGTTAGGATCGATTGTTCGATTACATCATCATTCTCATGTTATCGAAATCATGTTGGCAGGATATGCAACAAGCGCGAAGTCACGGTTACACAGATTCAGTTGAAGGAAATTATAAAGGTCGTGGCCTGCCTGTAGTCATCTCATTCTCTCAAAACATTTGTCCTAGATTCCCATACACCCAAGTATTTAGTACATCACTAACCTGGCACCTGCTGTACCGAACTAAGTCTCGGAAGCAATGCAGGAGCCCCTTGCTCCCATCCTAGCCAGATAGCTCTCTTTGACCGGCGACTTGAAGCAGGGTCACTTTTATGGACTGGTCTGAGCTCTGAAGTGCAGTGGTGCATACCTGAACTAAGGTGCGCTTTTCCGCGGAGATAGTCCTTTTGATGTACACTTGAAGCTCCTCTAAGTATGCCACCATCAAGGTGACAAATATCTGGTGACATCTAGTGTATGTACCAAGAGCAAAGCTTTCCTGTACGTCTTTGACTTGCAGGTAATATCCACCTCACTGGATCCTGGTTTTTGGAGAAGGATCTTTAGTATCTCCTATGTTATGCGTGCCCTAATCGCACATCCTCAGGCACGACACAATTCAATCCAAAAATATTAGAAGATATCAATGAGTACTGCTCACATTCCATTGGAGAACATTCAAGAGTGATACTTTCCAGTTGTTGCCCTTTCAATGGATTAATCAAACCTCACAAATTGAAATATGACTACACTGGCGTTTTACTTACACTGTATCATGCATTTTACATTCATAAGTGTTAATTGCTCCTACAATAATGAACTCATGCATATTCAGATTTCCACCAGTTTTTCTACTACCAGGAATATTTAACTCAACAATGCTATCTTATTTTTCTTGAATGAATGTGAATGAAAATACCCGCAATATAAACAGCTATTAGCTATGCATAATCATACTATTTTTTATGTATTATCGTAACCGCTGATGAGGAGATTAGCGTTTTATGGAAGATACCACGTGGCCAACTCTAGTACTTGAGTCATATTACAGAAAAGCGTTAGGCAGATTGACTCTGCATCTATATAAATAACACTTGACCCAAATATCGTCAATCATTATGTCCTAGCGATCTATAATTATTTTGAGGAGGGATGTGCTTCACAATCAATTTAAGCAACAAGTATATATTTAAAAAATACAAATAGCCCGATTGTAGAAACTGAAAACAATGAATTTCAATTGTGCTATCAAGGTGAACCTAAGGACACCTCAAATGTTAAGACCCATTTGGTTCATAGCCCGAACTTTCGAGGTTGAAGTTTCATATCTGCAATTGTGATTTTACGAAATTTTGGTATATCCAGTGTCACTCGGTCTATCAAGACAAATCTAGAGATACATCATATGTGAACATTCATCAAGCCGTTTAAGCTGAGGTCTGTGAAATAAAAACTTCAAGATCATTTTTTTATTAAAATCTGGCATTTTGTTTGTATAAAATTACAATAAAGCCAGTGTTATCTGCAATGCTAAGATGAATCCAGCAACACTTCTTATGTCAAAATCTATCAAGCCATTTAACCTATAACTCGTTAAATAAGAATTTCAAAGATGATCCTTTTTATTCAAATCCTGTCGATCCCTTTGAACTTGTTGTGTCACCAACTAGGGTGGGCCATCCGTTGGTTTCTTTTTTAAATTGGTATTAAAACTACACTCTTCAATAATATGTAATACTCGATACTTTATTCAAAAGAATACACCTTCCGATTATTTATGAAAAACAATTTCGGTTAAATGGCTGCCACGGCTGGTCTGGCAGTAGTCCATCCTATTAACCCAATTTTGAAGCACATTTTCGATAGTTTGTGGGTCTATTTCATCAATAGCTCGACGGATAGTTTCCTTAAGAACACCAATTGTTTGAGAATCGTTAGTGTAACAACGGCCCTCAACGGTAAGCCATAGAATGTAGTCCATTTGCGTCAAATCACAGCTGCGGGCTGGCCAATGAACGTCTCCAAAACGGCTGATAACGCGATGACCGGACTTAGTGTGTAAAAGATCGATTGTTTCACGGCTGGTGTGCCATGTTGCGCCATCCTGCTGGAAGCAGAGATTGTGCAAGCGCATGTCGTCTGATAGTGGCCACAAGAAACTCAGCATGTCTCTATAGCATTCCCCGTTTACCGTCACGCTGTTACCATCTTCATCTTGGAAAAAGTAGGGACCAATAATCCCACCACTCCAAAAGCCACACAAAACAGTTACCCTTTTTGGATGCATTGTTTTTTCTATGACAACATGTGGATTTTTAGAACCCCAAATTCTACAGTTCTGCTTGTTAATGTAACCTCCCAGATGGAAATTGGCTTCGTCCGAAAAGATGATTTGGCGACCAAAATTGACGTCCGTTTCCAATTGATTTAGAGCCCACTGAGAAACGATATCGAAGCGGATGGTCATTTTGTTTCAACTCTTGCACAAGTTGCACCTTGTAAGGAAATAATCTCTTCTCCGCACAGAACTGCGACTGATGCCCACTTGTTGTGTTCTGTGACGAGTTGACATTCTTGCACTTTCACGCACACTCTGGGCAACAGCAGCAATGTTTCCGGCTGTACGTACGGTCAAACACGCTCATACCTTCTGTTATCCACAGCAGGCCAGTTTTACGAACCTTCATTCCGACCGAGTAGTCTTCTCAATTTTCGCAAAGTTTCTGCAGCACAGCACTCACTTTGACAATAGTTTTTCAATATTTCTCACCTTTGTTCAAGATTAAAACGATCCATTGCTCACAGAGGCAGTTTGACATAATATATCTGTTAATATGTTGAGCATGGGACTGTCAAAATAATACCAACTTAAAAAAAATCCGACTGATGGCGAACCTTTGTTTGTAAGCTGTCATGCCAATTACCAGTGACAACGATGGACATTTGACAAAACTCAGCGTACGATTTTTGACAGGTTCTCGCTTCAATTAGTACTTTGTGTCAGTAGCAATCACAGGACGTTTTCTTGGCATCCATGGCGGATCGCCTACAGCCGATCTACAACGCATCGTCAGTGCACACTATGCTTATTTGCAATAGCAATAACTATGGACATATTATGAAAAAGAAATATTTCCTAAAAAGTCCAGCTGAATTGTTTAAAAGATAAACTGTTGTCACTGACAGGTTTGTGCGATAAAAATGTGATTTTCTATTTTCTTAAAATATAAACAGCCCAACTGCCTGTGAAATAGGAATTTCAAGGCAGAAGTTTATATTAAAACCCGCCTTTTTGTCTTTATAAAATTGTGATGTAGTCAGTGTCACTCCATCAGGCCGTTTGGTTTGTAGCCCGTAAAATGTATTTTTTGGATAGACGCGGGTACGCGCGGAAAGAACTTCTCAGGCAGTCAGGTAAAAAATTCAATCAAAGCTATTATAGTACGATGCAATTAGTCCAAAAAACGGTCTAACGTCAACATCCAAAGTAAAAGTTTCCCTCCAACTTCAAATTGTTCTATACAGTCCACATATTGTTTGATAAAAGGTTACACCATTTTGAGCGTCGGGTTCGGGAGGAAATATTTAAGAAAAACTGATAAAAAGTACTTATTTACCACCTTCTACCCCCGTCCCCCCAAAGCCGACGCTCCAGGTGGTGTAACTTTTTACCGAACAATATGTGGACCGTATAGAACAATTTGGCACTGGGGGTAAATTTAAACTTTGGATGTTGAGGTTTAGGTCTAAGTGCACCGTACTATTAACAATTATACACTCGAAAAGTGCATTTACCTGTTTTGCTTGTTTGTGCTTTTCATATTAATAAAAGAATTCATCGGATTACCAACGAGACTCAGACTAGATTAATATCATAATTCATTAGATACTCTTCCGTCTGTGATATATTGATGTTTTTGTTGTCATTTTAGTTTGCTCTCATTTAATCCCAGTATCAAATAGGTTTATGGTTACGACTAGCCGATAATGAAATA